AGCTAGGTGGTGCAGTGGATAGAGTATCCAGCCCTGGCATCAGGAAGAGTTCAAATCTCACCTCATACACTTAGTAGCTGTGTGACCCTGGACAAGTCATATAACCCCAATTGCCTCAAGAAGAAAGAAAGAAAGAAAGAAAGAAAGAAAGAAAGAAAGAAAGAAAGAAAGAAAGAAAGAAAGAAGAAAGAAGAAAGAAAGAAAGAAAGAAAGAAAGAAAGAGAGAGAGAGAGAGAGAAAGAAAGAAAGAAAGAAAGACAGACAGACAAACAAAAAAGAAAATGACTGAGTGATGTCAGATAAGGCTTTTCCCTCTTGGACTCAGTTTCTTCATCCTGTAAAATGAAGACATTGGACTTGAGGACCTCAAAAGTCTTTTCCATTTCTAAATCTCTGATCTTATAACATCCTTTGGGAAGTAGAGAAGACTATAAAGTAGCAAACCACAAGTACTCTGAGAGGAGAGCTTAACACAACATACACTCCGCATCAAATTGCCAAGATGGTGACTGCTATGGTGGCCCTTCTTTGGAAGTGCTCAGCAATGAGTGAAATGCAAATTAAGTGAAGGAAGGTGTGCCTCCTGTACAACATGTTGTGAGGTGACTGTCCCAACTCACACTTACTCTCCCTAAAAAGTTGAGTCCTCAGAGATGGCTACCATATCTCTTGAAAGCTCTAGGGTAAGCACTGAGGGGCACTGTCCTTCTAAACTTATAAGCCCCCACCGATATCTACCACCCCCCTCTGTGATAACTTTTGGTATCAGTTAGGCAGGCAGACTCAATTCACATCTAGAAAAGGGCGGGGTTTTTTTGAAGGAGTAGGGTAAGAACAGTTGATATAAAATATCCCCCAAAAGACAGTAGCCTCCGAGGGAATGTGACCTCAACTTTACATAGAGTACATGTAACCAGAAGATACCTCACAGCTCCTGGAAGTTCTATTTCTGGAGTCCTCCAGCTGTCCCCCTTAGCTATGGTGGAATCTTTCAGCAGGGTTCTTTGTAGAGCCTCGAATCTATCCTTGGCTCCCAACACAGACTCTGCCAATGCTGTCTTGGGGACACTGCTAGTATTCCAGTGAAAAACCAGAAATCCTCCTCTGACCAAGGTGGGAAGAAGGTGACAAAGACAGGATGGAGGAAGCCAAAGAGGAAACAGAGAGGCTCTCCTCTCCCTCTCCAAAGTGATTACTTCTCAGGGATTTGGCTGAAACGCTTTCTCCTCTCTTGATCTTTACTCCTGTAACTAGAAGGCAAAGGACCAGGAAGTACCCAGCTCCTAAAGAAAGACTGGACCTACATAATGTCAGCTCAGAGAAGAGATAGGTTTGCCCTGCTTGAGGGTAGACCAGGAGAATGCATCTGCCTCTCCCTAGGACCTCAAACCCAGCCACCAGCAATGCCTGTCATTGGCGGAATGGAAAGGATATCACCCAGCTGCAGAGCTTGCTGCCAGTAAATGCAAGCTCCAGAGTGTCCAAGGAAGAGGTTTCTCCCATAGTCCTTCCTTGGGACAGTAGAGCAAACTGACCAATGGGGAATTAAAATGCCTGGAAATGCTAGTAGATGACCCATTGCTATAGAATCAAATTCAGTAAATCAAATGACTAGGGTCCAAACTGGGAGAGCTGACCCTGTTCCAATGGATAGAAGGATCAGTATGACTCTAGTGGGAAGACAAGTCCAGATCAGTGGACTCACTCCTTCCCCCATGGAAGCTGCCTTCCTGAGCCAATGGTCTGAGCAGATCCAGCTGGACTCCAGTAGAATCCTGCAAAGAAAAGTAGCAGTAGGAAGTGCCATAAATTCTCCCAGGGAATGAATAAGGCAGCTACTTCACTTGGGCAAGAAAGAACCTAGATGTGCAGCAGAGGAAAGGATAGTCCAGTTCCTCATTCTTCAAAAAGAGAGAGGCTGGGAGACCACAAGGAAGAAAGTCTGGGCAAAAGACTTTCGTGGTAATGACCCCCGGGGACAACTGCTCTCTACTCTAAGAACACTGAGCTGGTGGCATTAAGGGAGCATCCCAGGACTGACCAATTCCCTACTATGGCTGCAAACAAAGGGCATTCTTTACATAGATCTTAGCACAGTGCCTGGCAAACAATAAGCACCTAATAAATACTCCTTGACTGGGGGACTATTTTCTCCTTAGGTCATCCTATAATGAGTGAACGGGGCTTCATTGAATAGGGTGGCTGCCCCATTAGATGTCTGGGCCTTGGAAGGCCAAAGGTGAGCTAAGCTTAATCATCATCTATTATGACCTTGACTGTTTTGTTTCACATAGTCACAAAGAACCGGTTCCCTTCCACAACACAGCCCTCCTTGAGGTCCAGGCTGCCTACCAGGCATCTCCAACTGGATGTCCCATAGTATTCTCAAACTTGACATTTTTTGTTGAAGCAACCACTACCTTTCCAGTAACCTAGATTCTTAGGTTGGAATTACATTGTACTCTTGTTCAGTCATTTTTCATCATGTTTGACTCTTCATGACCCCATTTGGGGTTTTCTTACCAAAGATAATGGAGTAGTTTGCCATTCTCCAGCTCATTTTACGGATGAGGAACTGAAGCAAACAGGGTGAAGTGACTCACCCAGAGTCACACAGCTAGTAAGTATCTGAGGCTGAATTTGAACTCAGGTCCTCCTGACTCCAGGTCCAGCACTCTATCCACTGTGCCACTTAGCTACCTCTGCGTATAGTAGGCATTTAATAAATATGGCTTGGATTGGTACCTATTTTGAATCTCTTTTATGGTTAGGAAGATTTTTCTAACCTCAAGTCTAAATCTGCCCTCTTTGCCCTGCTCTATTGCTCTAGCTGGATTTTCCAGGTTTATTGAATGAATTAATGAAAAGGAATTTGTTAATCACTCACCACATGCTAAGCAGTACACTGGGCTAAAAGCTGGAGGTACAAATAGAAAAGTAAGGCAGTCGCTGCCCTTAAGAAACTCACATTCTAATGGGAGAGACACCAAATACAGCTTTCAGCCGCAAGTCAAACATGGCCCTTGGATGAGTGAGGTCCTCAGGGAGAAGAAGGAAAGTAGGTGGTGATGCATTTTCTGGAGTGTCATTTTCATTGATAAAATCCCATGCATTGAGGTATTCAGTGATGCCAAGGATTTTGGTGATGAGAACTTCATTTTCTGTTTCTTTGGTAGCTGTGGCTGCTGGGAAGGTGGGGGCTACAGCACTTTCAGGGGAAGTTGCCAGGTCTCTCCTCCACAAGGGTTACTCCTTTGAATGATGGCTGGAAGGGTGGCTTGTGGTATGTGTGTGTCTGGGGGTGTGTGGTATGTACACACACTGTATTCTTCCCATTGGTTTTGGGCTTATAAACTGTTTCTAGGTGACACTTGGGGGTAGGGGTAGCTAGGGTGGCAGTCCCCCTTCTCCACTGAGATTGCTCTCCTGGATGAAGACTTGGGGCTGGACTGGAAGCAGGGCAGGTGGTCTGGGGATTTGGGGCACAAAGGGGACTGGGCTGTCCCCCCTGGAGTCTCTGGGGAAGTAGTGGCTGAGGCAGTGGTTTGACCAACATGGTACATGCCACCTCACATCTCTCCTTTAGCACACCTTGCTACCTCAGCTAAGCTAATTTGCTGGTTCTGTTGGAGGTAGTGGAGCACAGGGCTGTTTAATTTTGGCCTTTGCTTCCCTAGCATCTAGCACACAGTAGGTGCTTAATGAATTGGTGAATTTCTCCCCATGTCTGCAATATTCTCCCTCTCCATCTCTGCCTCCTAGACTCTCTGGCTTCCTTCAAGCCCCAGCTAAAATTCCATCTTTTGTCAGGAGACATTCGTGAACTCCCCCTCCCCCCGATGCTCACACTTTTCCTCTAATTGATAATCCTCAGTTTACCTTGTTCCTACATAGTTGTTTTCATGTTGCCTCCTTTATTAGACTGTGAGTTCCTTGAGACAAAGTCCTCTTTTGCCTTTATACCTGTAGGGCTTGGAGAGTAAGTCTACATGTTATATGTTGCTTACTTTATGCCAGCTGTATGCACGAGGTGGGTGTGATACTATCCCCATTTAACAGTTGAGGAAACTGAGGTTAAGTGACTTGCCCAGGGTACCTGGGCACCTGAGACTGGATTTGAACTCAGGTCTTCTTGACTCCAGGCCCATTCCTCTATCTTCTGTGCCACCAGCTGCCTCCCCAGCTGCTTAGCACAGTGCCTGGTATAGAGTAGGCACTCAGTAAATGCTTATTATCTGACTGACTTTTAGTTCTGCCCTCTTGGGCTAAGAAGACCAAATCTAGATGACAGCCCTTCAAAAATCTGAAGGGAAATGTCACGTCCTCTTGAGCCAGACATCCTCAGCTCTTTCCTCATATGAAGTAGACTCAAGACCGTTCACCATCCTCACTGCTTCAGCAACGTCTTCCCTAAAATACAGGGTGCCAGGTGCAGGGCTCAGAACCCAGGAAGCGCTTAATAAATGCTTTTCGTTCGCTCGTTCAGTTGCTCATGCATTCAAGCACCGATTCTTTCTTTGGTTCATACATGCATTCAGAGGGGGTCTGCCCGGGAGTGCTGCTGCCCGAGGCCAGTGAAGAGGAGGCCAGCCCCGTTGGAGACTCCAGGGCGGGGCGGGGCGGGGCGGGACCACGCTGCGCTGCGGAGCTTGCAGCTGTGCTTTCCATTCCCGGCTGTCAAACCCCGGAGCCCCGCCTCCCGCCAGAGCCTGGTTCATCTCGCCTTCCCATTGGCCAGAGGCCCCGTCCCAGAGACCTCGGCCCTATGAGAACCCAAGGCTGAGGCCCTTCCCATTTAAAAAAAACAAAACCCAGCTCAGGTCACCTGACCTCCAAAAGCCAATGGAAGCACCTATCTAGGGATTCCTTTTCCAGCCGCAGCCCAGACGGACCGCTATGCCCGCCCTCCTCCAGCGTTGATTGGGTCTGCCGTGTGAGCGCGCCCTCTCATTGGCCGGCTCGATCGGGGAGGAGGCTGGTGGGGAGGCTCGTATCGGGAGCGCTGAGTCAGCTGCTGCAGAGTGGGCTGGGTGGGGTTGGGGGCTGCACTTGGGCTTGACCGGAGCCAGACGGGCTGGTCGCTGCTGGTCTCTGCCTCCCGCTGCCGCCGCCCGCCGCCGCCCGCCGCCGCCATGGAGAACTTCCCAGAGGAGATGGATGAAGAGCAGTATTGGCAGAACGAGCTGCTGCATCTGGCGCGGTGGGCGGGGCTGGCCATCCCTGGGGATTATCCGGGCCCGCCTTGGCCTGGGCGGGGATTATCCGGGGCTGTGTGTCTAGTGCAGGGCTAGGGGTTATCCGGGGCTGGAGATTGTGGGGCCGGCAAGGGCATGCGGGTGCTGCCCAGTCCGGCGATGGGGGATAATCCTGGATTTCCTTGTCCAGAGATGAGGGATTATTCGGGGATCCTCTAGGGATTATCCGGGGGCTGCCTAGTCTAGGGATGGGGGATGATCCTGGCTTTCCTTGTCCAATGATGAGGGATTATGCAGGGGTCACCTTTTCCAGGCTGAGGTTCGTATAGGGACTATTCGGGGGCTTCCTAGTTGAGGGACGGATTTTATCTGGGGTTTCCTTGTCCAGAGATGAGGAATTATCCAGGTGTCTCCTTTTCTAGACTAGAGATTATTGGCGGGGGTGGGACTGTCTAGTCCAGAGCTAAATTGAGGACCAGATTTGTTCAGACTAGGGATTGTGTGGAAAAGAGAGGGAGGTGTGTGCATTCTTGTGTGTGTGTGTGTGTGTGTGAAGAGTGGTTTATTGGGAGCTAGGGATTACGGATTATTTGGGGGCTGAGTTTATGGAATGGGAAAATTACCTCATATTGAGGAGGGGGAAATTATTGGGGGAGTAGCAATTTCCGAGTTGAAGATTATTCTGGGACTGGGTAGCTGTTTGTCCTAAGATTTGGAATAAAATACGAATAAAATCAGGGGGCCAAACATTAGGTTTATGGTGTAGGGTGGGTAAGGGGAGGGGGAAATTAAACCAGGGGCAAGGGATTATGTGATGGGAGGAGTTGTTTTGTGTGTGCATGGGGGAAGTGTCCAGAGAAGGGCATTGCTGGAGGGCAGGGGTGGGGCATCTGGAGGGGTGGGTGGGTTGGGGGAAGGATCTAGTATCTGAGAAGACTTAAGGCTGAGATTTATCTGGGAAAGGGGGTGCTGGAAGGATGGATTGTTGGGGTTTTGGGGGCATTCACTGCCCTGGTGTGTGTGACTCAACCATCTTTGCAGTGAACACCTTTTTTTTTTGTCATTGTTTTTATATCATGGTCATTTCTCAGTTTACATTTCCACCCACTCCTCCGTTAAACTCACTCTGCAACAAAAAAGCACACTTGAGCAAAGCCAAAGGAAACTGTATCTGACGGTGCATGTTCCATCCCCATGGACACCTCCCCCTTTCAGACTGAGAGGAGGGAGGTGTGTCCTCATCCGTCCTCTGCTTGTGAGGCTGTCATGAAAATCCATCAGAGTTCCCGCTGTTTTAGAGCTGGTTTCATTTACCTTAGTGTGATTATTGTACGTGTCATTTCCCGTCTTGGGCATTTCTTTATGCCGGTTTTGCCGTGTTTCTCTGGATACTCTCGACAGTCATTTCCTATGGAGCATGTTTCACTCACGAGCCATTACTTAGTCATTTCCCCCCAGTCATCTTATCACAAACATACAAAGTGATGCTAGGAATATATTGGTATATTTGGGGACTTTCTTTCTGCCCAGGACACTTTTCAATGGGATGGGCATTGAGCTGCCAACAGGTGAGCTCTTTAGCTGGGAAAACCGACTTCCTCCTCCCGCTGCCAAGAGAGCCGTGGAGAACCTGCCAAAATCCACCATCACAGGGGCCCAGGCTGGTGAGGGGCCTTCTTCCTCCAAGGCCCTCCTTTATCTCTGCCACTTCCCAGTTACCTGTTTGACCTTTAAGGAACCAACATCATCCCCTCCCCTTCTTCCTCTACCCAGCATGCAACTAATTTCCCTGTTCAATCTTCCAGACCAGGCTGGGTGAAAAAAAATTCAACGAGGGGGTCAAATACCCCTACAGACTGACCTGCCTTTGAGGAGGCAACACTGGGAGGGGATTGGGGTGGGAAGGTGGAGGAAACAGGGCCTGATGGGATGGGCTTTCCCTCTCAGACGCAGGTGTCAAGTGCCCCGTGTGCCTTCTGGAGTTTGAGGAGGAGCAGACTGCCCTGGAGATGCCCTGTGAGCATCTTTTTCATTCAGACTGCATCGTTCCCTGGCTAGGCAAGGTATCCCCAGCTTCCCAAACAGTCCTTCTGGTGTCCAGCCCAATTAATATACATTGGCCTGCCCATCCATAGATCTTGAATATCGGGGATGACGGACAGAAGCTTTCTTCTAAACATAAGCTTAAGGCACAGACCCCAGAGGTGACACCATGGGAAGGGAGGAGAGGGAGAAATGGACCCTGGGCCATCTTCGTTCTCACTCTGTCTTCCCAGACCAACAGTTGCCCTCTGTGCAGATATGAGCTGCCTACAGATAATGAGGACTATGAAGATTACAGGAGAGAAAAGGTAGGGCCAGGCTTGGGGGAGTGCGTATCCCCTACTGCCAGACCCGAGATGCTCTGTGGAGGTGTTCCGTTCCTTAAAACACAAGGCCGAACACTAGTGGAGACAGGAGAATAGTGCTAACCCCAGTGGCATCGTCCCCCTGATGGCTTTAGAAGACCAGGATTTGAGAGACTGGTTTTTTACACCTCTCAATTCTAAGATCCTCTTCACTCTGTGACCACTTTTAATGATCTGTGACTTCATGGAAGTGGGAGGGGACTAGCCATGTCCTTCTTTCCAGAAGTCCATTCCCATAAGTCCACCAAAGGGCCCCATGGCAGCTCTGGGTGTGTGGGGAAGTGGGTTGTGTAGGGGCATGAGCTAACATGGGCCTTATTGCCCAGTCAGGGAAGGATCCGGAGATGTGCCTGGATCCTGCTGAAAGGAGGGAGCGTCTCCTCTCAGACCAGGTCTGTAATAGGGGGAGAAGGGAGAAGTGTGATGGGAGAAGGGAAGAGGGTATCCCTGGGTCTGAGTAAATGATTGAGCCATTCATGGTGGGGGTCCCTAGGATGTCAACATGATGGTCAGAAACTTCAGTGTTTTCTTACCTCTACATTTTGCTTGTACTGATCTAGCAGTTGAGGTTCTGAGGGCTGCTGAAGACCTATGAAGTTGGGGTTTCTTTTTTTTTTGCATTTTTTTAGGGCAATTTGGGTTAAGTGACTTGCCCAGGGTTACACAGCTTGTAAGTGTCAAGTGTTTGGTCTGAGGTCGGATTTGAACTCAGGTCCTCCTGACTTCAGGGCCAGTGCATCCACTGTGCCACCTAGCTGCCCCTGAAGTTGGGGTTTCTTAAGGATATAGGAGGTATAGTGTAGGATCAATAAGGGTCAATGCTGAGTAGGTAGTAAGGCTTCCTGATTGTGGTCAGAATTAGGATAAGGGTGATTTGGTCCTAATTGCTCAGTGCTGGTCGATGAGCAGGGAGTGGTCCCAGGGCACTCAGTCCAGTCCTGCCTTCCAACCAGATGGGTTGGGAAGGGACCATTGGATCATCATGAGTTAGGGAGTGAGATTGGGAGGGGTGGGAAGTGGAAGATGAAAATGAAGGAATTAGGCTTACCCAAGGATAGAAGAAGCTGTCTTGTGAGGTAGTGAATTTCCCATCAGAGGATGTGGAAATGTGAAATATCTGGGCTGTACCAGAGAATTCTTATTCAGATCCAGTCGAGCCTAGTTTCCTTCTGCAGTCTGTTCTACTTCAGGGGTTCTAAGAGGCAAGTGGAGTCTAGGAGCTGAGGGGGAGCTGCTGAGACAGAAGGCCTGCCTTGGGGGCTCCAGAGGGAAAGGGTTGGGGAGATGTGAGCCTCTCTGCAGTCCACACTGATAACCCTGGTCGGCTCCTGCCATTCCAGAATGCTTTTGCCAGGGCAAACAAAGCCCTGGCTCTTAAGCAGCCTTGGGCAGACTTGGACGGGAACATCCGGTGCCGCCTCTTCCTGGGCCTGATCATCACGGCCTTAATGCTGCCCCTCCTGAAGTGGATTATTGTGGCCACCACGGAGCGTCCTGCGAATCTTCATAACCCAGCGGCAGCGTGGCACCAGGGGGCCACAGCCAAAGGCTGGGGGTTTGAGCCACAGCCAGGAGACTAAACTGCATCATGGGGGGATGAGAAGCCAACCCCACCCAAACCACTGGGCTCCACTAAGGAGCACTGGTTGGTGCTGGAGTTGAAGGAACCCTGAGGAGCTCTCTTTGGTGGACTTGACTCCACCAGCTGTACCCCTGCACGATGCCCGCTGCCCCTGCCAACTTCCCATCCCCCTGGGGTACAAGCTAAATCACCCCTTGCTACGTAGAGCTGAATAAAAGCCCCTCTTGGGTAAAAGCCTGGAGTCTGGATTCTATATGAAGTGCTCAGGGGAGGTTCTCTGCATAGGGGGTGACAGACTTGTTAGGAAACCTGTTTCCCATTCTCAAAGGACATCTTGTCCCCAATTGAGATGGACTTTTCCCATAGTATCCATTGTTGATTCCCTACGGCCAGAGTCTTCTCCCCTTGCTCCTCATGCCAAAGACAACCTACCCAGGAGTCAGAGCACCTGGATGCAAAGTTCACCCCTGTTGTGCACAACTAGTTCACTTGGCTACAGAGCCTACCTAGGGCCTAGGATTTCCCAATCATCTGAGGAATCAAGACCAGCTTGATTTTCTATCTCGAATGCGTGTTGATGAGGCGGGAGGCAGGATGGAAGCAACTCCGTTTGTTTTTAGCAAAGCACTTACTTATATAGTAAAATAACAGGACTCTTTCTCAAGTTACAATGACTGTATAGCCCATGCTGTGCTCAAGGACAGTGCATGCATGTCCTGTGCACTTATCTGACTCCAATCCCAGAATAGACTGCTAATGACCATACAATAACTAGGGGAGTTAAAGATTGTTACAGATCCATACAATGGAGCACTGAACCAGGCGACCTTTGCTCAAAGATCAGCACCCGAGGGGGGCCTCCGCCCATCAGTGAGACCTCTTGAACAGCCTGTGGCCCTCTACATACTTACAGATCCCTAACACACCTCATTGCTTACGACCCTTGTGACCTTGGCCAAATCACTTGTCTCAAAAGAGAGTGTTGAATGAAATGGCCTCTGAGGTCTGTTACTGTTCTAAAGCTACGATCCTCCAGGGAGCTTTGGAGGGCACTTTATAGTGTCCACAGTGGTATCAACCTCACATAAAAATGAGGGCCACAAATCAGTACATGAGGACCCTCCAGGGTCACATTGACTCAGTTTTAAATATATTTAAATAATTATATAGTTAAATAATTCCCTGAGAGCCCAGGGCACCCAAGCCATAAAAGGCATGAGCCGAGAAGGTACTTGCATTGCGGGGCACCGTGCCCCCAACAACTGCCTCAGTGAGATCTTAGTGGGGTCCACTTTGGGCGGGAAATCGGGTGGGGTTGGACCAACCAATAGGCATTTAGTAAGTGCCTGCTCTGTGCCAGCCTTGCGCTGAGACTCAAAAGGAGGAACTACCCCTGTCCTCAAAGGTCTTAAAGCCCAGTGTACATTGGGGTCGGAGGCCCCAGGGTCAAAGTCCAGAGATGCCTCGTGACCTTGGGCCATTAATGGAGACGTTGGACTGGACGTTCTCTGCAATTCCAATATAAATGCTATGATGCCAATTAGTGGGAGGGGCAAAGAGCGGTCCACGGCCAGGGCGGAAAGGTATGACTCCTCCACACAGGCAGCCTTCCTGGAGCAGGTGAGACCCGAACCCAGGCTCCAAGGCCAAGTACCAATGGGATTATCGGGAGAAGACCTCGGGTGCAATGGGTGCAGCACTGGGACAACAGGGGTCCGTCCAGCCCTTATCTGACTCCGCCTCCTGAGGCCAGCAACCAATGAAAACCTGGGATCGCGGGCTGCCTCCATTGGCTCGAGTTTCAGACCACCTGATTCACAGAGACCAATGGAAAAGCGAGCTTGGGGTTTCCGGAGTCGCGCATCCCGGAGGGGCGTGGAGCCCTCCTTTTCAAGGCTCTGATTGGACCTTCGGACGGAGGCCGGTCTCCCATTGGTCGGAATGGCGCGAGAAGGGCGGGATCACTTCGCGTCGCATCACTGTGACAGGGGCCCCTCGCCAGCTAGGATTCACGGTTGCCATGGCGTCCTACTTTGAGGAGCACGACTGCGAGCCGGGAGTGCCGGAGGAACAGTACCGGCAGAATGCGCTCCTGGAGCTGGCGCGGTGCGTGGGGGCGTCATCGCCCGGCGTTGGGCCGGGGAAGTGATCCGGGGCTCCGGAGGGATGGGAGGGGGCGTTCTCTGAGGCTCCAAGGGATCGGAAGGGGCGTTATGCGAGGCTCGGGAGGGACGGAGGGCGCGTTATCCGAGGCTCCTAGGGGTGCCTGGGGACCAGCGAAGCAGTTATTGAAATGGAAAGTCCTGGGCTAGGGGAGGCTTTGGGAGACATCAGGGTACTGGTGTTAGAAATTATGTGGGTAAAAGGGTCCCAGGGAAAGAGAGATTATTGCCCTGAGCTAACAGCTCTCCTCCTACCCCCAAATCCCTTTTCCAGGACACTTTTCAACGGGATGGACATTGAGCTAGCATCTGCCGACTTCACGGATTGGGACCACCGACTGCCTCCTCCTGCCGCCAAGAGAGCTGTCCAGAGCCTGCCAAAAGCCATCATCACAGGGGCCCAGGCTGGTGAGGGGCCTCCTTCCTCCAGTCACCTTCCATTACCTCTACAGCCAAGGCAGACCCTATATTCTTCCTCCACCCTGTCAACCCCTAGCTCAGTCTTGGCCCAGAAGGGCCCGTGAGGGCAAGGAGAATAGACTGCTTCTGAGGCCATAGTGCTGGAACGGAATGGGGGGTGGTAAGATGTAATCTATGTGGCAGTTAATTAGCGCTTTCCTACCAGACAAGGGTCTGAAGTGCCCTGTGTGCCTTCTGGAGTTTGAGGAGGAACAGACTGCCTTGGAGATGCCCTGCCAGCACCTCTTCCATTCAGACTGCATCCTACCATGGCTGGGCAAGGTACCTGAGATTTCTGCACAGTCTGCCCCCTGCCCTCTCTCTTGTACCTGTTTCCCTCACCATTTGTTTACTTCACACACCCATAGACCTAAACTTTACTCCTACTCTTGGAATGTCAATGATGAAAGTCACAATCAAATGAGCTGTAACCAGAGGAACTGAAATTGGAGAAGTAGAAAGGGAACCCACAAGTCCCTCCCTCTTCTCCTATACCTCCTAGAATCCCTAGCTCACTCCCAAGCTACCTTCTACATGAGGCTTTTCCCAATCTTGCCAGTTGCTAATCACTTGGTATTTATTTCTCTGCGTACAAATTGTTCCCATTCAAAAACATGTAAGTGCCTTGAGGACAGGAACTGTTTTTGTAGCCCAGATACCTGTAGCACATTTAATAAATGCTTATCAATGGAATGATCATTCCTGTTGTTTACCCAGACCAACTCCTGCCCGCTCTGCAGATGTGAGCTGCCCACAGACAATGAAGAGTATGAAGAGTATAAGAAAGACAAGGTAAGAACAGATGGAATTGGCCCGACCCTCCAGGGTGGGGAAAATAGAGCCAGCCCTCATGGTATTTCCCCGACCCGAGCTCCAGAAAGCCCTGGCTTAGATGTCAAAAGACCTTGAGTTTGAGATTTGATTTTGCCACTTTGAGACTGTAGATCTGGGTAAGCCAGCCTCTGTCAGCCTGTTTCCTTTTGTGGAAGACAGGTATAAAAATGTCTATTCTTGGTCCTTCCTCAGCCTTCTGTGAGGATATCAGTAGGATTCACAGGTACAAGAGAGAGGGCAGAGTGCTTTGCAAGGCTGTATCTTTTTGACTTCTTTGGCCCTCTCCCTGTCCTACAGGACTGGGTTACTATCCCTCCTCGAATCAGGTGGGCTTTCCCCTTAACTTTTCCTACTCCCCTCCCTGTAGGCTCGGCGGCAACAGCAACAGCATCGTCTTGAATACCTCCATGGAGCCATGTACACATGATGGACTTCCTTTTCCCCCTCCCAATACTTTTCCTTGTGTCAATTAAATGGTTTCCTCACCCTGAGCAACAGCACCTTTGCCTGAGAGGATGTGTGCCCTGAGAAAGTGGAAACTTTGCTTTCATTCCATCTCTGCTAGTGGAAGGAGAGTGGGTGGGATGGAGCAGTGGGCTTCTTGGCACTCCCTTCTCTCCCCCTCCTGGAGAGCTGGCTTCAGATGGGGAGGATTCAGTGGAGATGGGAGAGAGGAGAGAACCAAAGATTAAGGCCTTGAGTTCAAAGGGCAGTCATGAATCTCTGGAGAAGGGAAGGTAAAGAACCTTACTACCCACCTTCCTAAACTCAGAGTGGGAAAAGCTATCCTTAAGGAATGAGTAGTAGGCAACCCACTTAGGGGGCCAAGCTTCTGGGGGTGTGGTCCAGCTCACAGCACTTCAGGGTTGGATGGGGTCTCTGGTGGGTACCCCTATCTGACAAGATCCCGACAAGTAGTAATGGAGACATCACAGTGAGAGAGAGAGAGTGTGTGAGTGAGTGAGTGTGTGTGTATGTATGTGTGTGTAGAACCTAGGACCCAGCCTAAGGCTGCCTCTCCAGCTTCCATTGTTCCTAGCTCTGCCCCCCTGGAGCCCTGCACGTCCAAACCCTTCTCCCCATTGGAGCCAGCCCTTCCAACAATCTGAACACAGGGCTCCTTGGCCTCGGCCAGGCTTCTCTTCTCTAGGCTAAACGTCTTCCATCCCTTTTGATCCACCTTCATGTGGCATCTTAAAGTCCGTGACTGTCGCTGTTGCTCTCAATGCTCCTTCAGCGCATCAATAGCCTTCCTAAAATGGAGATATTCTGGTTTCTTCATTCCCAGTCTTGGGTCCAAGGAAAAGCCCTTCCCCCAGCTAGACGTTCAGTTCTTCAAAACAGATCGCCAAACACTCAAGAGTTAGGTTTTTTAATAGATATAAAAAAGTACTAAAATATCCATGTGGTTCTGCTGGGTTATTTGCCCTAAGGGAAGCAGGGCGGAGCAAAGGGAAGGAAGTCTGAGCAGTCTGGAAGGCTGAGCCCGTGGGCATGTTCTGAGAGCTGGGGGGAGGTGGGGCTTACTAGCTGCCGCCTTCCTATACCCTTTGCTTTGTCCCAGCCCCCAGAATTCCTGCAGAAAGACTCCAGTGGCCTGGCCTCAGAACCAGTGGGGAGCAGAAGGCACCTTAAGGGCTGGATTGGTGAATAAATGAGGATAGGGAGTGTTTAAAAAAAAAAAAGACACAGAAACAAACTGAAAACAGTATGCTGGGATTGAGCAGACTGTCGGCCCCCAGGCAGCCAGCAGGGGTCGCTGCTCTTTCATGGCACAGGTGTCAAG